TTTGGTTGTCCTTGAGTAATCAATTGGGCCTATAAACAGTTTTCTATGGAGAAAGCTACGTGACGCCAGGAGCGAACTTTTACTATCCAGGTAGGAGAGGCAGTTCAGTCCTCCTGAGGTTCGCTCAGAAACTATTTCTCCTGCTTTTGGTTACTGCTTGTAGTTTTCCTTTCAGGTAATCGTATTTAGGCATAGAGTCATTGAAGAGCTGGCAGGAAGCTGTCGCGTAGAAAGCACGTATAAAGCATCACATAGCAGCGATCGTTCCTTAGAAAAGCAACCATATAGCAAATGAATGCAAGGAACAGGGAGGTGGTGGCCCCTCCAGGCACGTTCCTGAACCAGTCATAGCTTACAGATTAACCAGTCGACTATACCGGACGTTTGTACCAGTCCCGATATTACTAGCTGGCCTTCGTAGCTAAATGAATATGCTCTTACGCCATTGTAGCTGGCAGGCTACCTGCAAAATTCCCTGATCCTCAAGTCAATGCTGTCTCAGTAATGATCCATTTACAACTCGAGTAGTTTACTTTTAACACATGACGTATCCAATAGGTTTGATAAAACATACCAGAAGAACTCGTCGCCAGCCTGTTTGTATATGGGAGCTGTTCTACCGAAATGAAACTCACAGTTCGCAATCGGTACCGCTATTAGAACTGATGAAATGTATACATTTCCTTTGTGGGGGTGATACAGTTTAGTAGATGAGGCATGTTTCCTAGTAAGACTACAAGGCTCCAATAATCATTCTACCTTTGAAAATTACTGTTGAAATCTAGAGAAAAAAAAAAGCCTTGACAGAGATTACTTGAAGAAATAATTGTGCATTTAGAAATACTAAGTAAGCTGATGACGCAAAGAGTCTGCTTGCTCCTTTAATGTCCTTCCGAGTTTGTGATTAAAAATAACTGCTAACCAAATAGTAGATTTCACTTTATCAAGCTCAATTTGTTAGGTTTAGAACTCTATTACTAAAAAAAAACTGCATTAATGCTCGAGACCTACAATTAACTAATTGAACTAAGGCTCTCTTTCTTTACTTGCTACCTTTACGCTCATCGAAATATTAATAGGACCAGTGCAACGCTGAAATAGACTTCAGTGATGAAGGGCAGAAACAAAACATTTCATTGACTAGTCAGTATCTGAGTAAAATTCGTAGGTTAGCCAATGTTTTACCCATGTTACGGTCAGATAGCCATAAGCGCTTGAAATAGATGCCTTTGAAAATGCCGCGCTTTCATACGAAACCTGCTATAGCGAGAGAAATGTAAAGCGACGAAGTTCTGTAGACTAACCGAATGATTTTCAACGGTCGTGCTCAAATAGGCCCGCGTAACAATGCCAAATGACAAATGTACTGTATCAGTTGATCTCACAGCCTTAATTCTATTCTGTAAAACCGATAGCGAGGTTACTCTAAGATGCAACCTCTAAGATAAAATGTGTCGTATTGTCGGTGTTAAATCCGTATTAACTGAAGCTATTTCGAGTAGTTCGTGCGAGGTTAATAGGTTATCTATCTAATAATTAGCTGTTTCTCGAATTCCGACAAAATATTCGATGGAATCGAAGAAATGTCAGATAGTTACCTTTCGGAATTGAAACTTGTTTCAACATTTCTTTATTATAATTGCCACGTTGGTGATACTAACTGAATAAATAGTATTACACTTATGCAAAGGCCTCTAGGCTCCTTACTTGAAGCTTGAAAATTGTACATGACAAATTGAAATCCTTGGTTAAAAAATTATTGCTACTACTACAACTACTACTACTATTTGTATATATACTATGTACTAAAACGAGCATTTAAGAAATGAGCAGAATGTATACACAGTTCCTCACTCTTCCTGTCGAAGCTATACTTAGACACAATCATATACATTCCAAAGAAAGTTCGTTTCGAAAGCGATCCATGCATATAATAGTTAACAGATTTATGCCAAAGGCACCGGAACTTAGAACCCTTTAACCACAAGGTTCACTAAATTACGGCTGCCGCAAGAAAAAACAATATACCTTATTCAACGGGTGATTGAGACCCGTCTATCGCATCGGCGGTTTCAGTTATTAGGTATTTACAACCAATAGACAGGTAATTATGAAGCATACAAAAGTCTTTCTGTGATAATAACAGCTAGTCGTTTATTCGTATGGCTATATTTTTTATCAGCTCTCTCTTATTTTTCCTGAATATATACTGTGAGGGCATGCATCTAAATTGCACACAGTATCTGGGCTTTATTTCTATTATCCATCTTGCAGATTTATTTCCATCTACCCAAAAACTTCTCTCATTCCAATGCCAGTGATATTTGTCTGTGATACCTAACCGTCAACTGGCAGAATATTGAAGCCCGCTGCCAAAAATCGAGGCCTAAACCTACTTTATTGAGCTGAAAAGGCTAAATCTGCTGCATATTCTTTGCTTTGAGATTTCTCTCAAAAACTGATACCAAGACGCGACTTTTACAGGATTGTCAAGCCTTCTAGAAGGTTTGTGCGTTTTCATTATATGTTTGGCTCGACATCTTTACCATCGCCGCTAATAAATAATAAGCCTCTCTACCTAAAATATGTCGATATCTATCATAAGGAGAGCAATATAGCACAATTCTACTCGTACCGAACAGAAGGGTTATTATCGTTTCACATTATTCAGCGAATCGTTCTCAGTAATGGACATAACATAGACACGCGAAACTGTGTACTGCAACTGTATCAGTGCCATGTAGGTTGGCGAACGGACGAGACCTTTCTTTACTTTAAGGCAAACTGCGCCGGTTAACATACTATTAAGCGAATTTACATAAGCAGAGATTCTTAGTCAACTGGCTAGTTATCACTAGACTCTATAGAGAGGACTAGACGTTGCTTGGTCTTTACCTGATGCAGACGCACCTTCATACCCCACCAGATTCAACTCTACTCTCTTCCCAGGAATATAAAATTAATCTCTACACCCCAAAACAGGCTTAAGCCATCTGTGAATAAAGTTTCACTTGCATTCGAATAAGTCTTGACTGTGACGAACAACATGATGATTCGTCACTATCCCCAGTACCCGTAAGCGTTCATAGGAATAACATCTGGAAACGCCACGTCTCTGAGACACTAGAACGCGTGTGACTTTGGCGATCTCTGAAGCCTCAAATGCTGCCTTAGAGCCCTCTAATAATAAAGTGGGGCTAGTTGCACGATACAACAAAGCCTTGTAGAACGATGCCCCGGGAAGTCTGTAATTGGAAGACCTTGCGTGCGTTGTAGAGCACTTTAGGATTCCGAAGCTTGAAGGAGTTACCTCTGTCATTTTAGACCCATGTTTTTCTCTCTGTTTTTTTCATTATAGACTCTCGACTGAGATGAGATAAAGCTTTTGAGAAATTAGAACAGGTCACCTGCTGCTACAGCCAAAAATGGCAGCATAATTATTTTGCCTTTGAGTTGTTGGGCCATATCGTGTATAGCACTGAAAAGCAATGGTCTCTCAGTCAACACCTGTCGCTCGGTTGAACCATTCTAGCTGAACGAAAGCCGAATGAAACCCTTTTCTTACTTGCATGGAAAGGTCAGCAGCTTTCAAAAAAGAGGGTACGATGTATCGTTAGATGGCCACTTAGAAATATGGTAACACCTGTGTCTGTCAAGTAGACCAAAGGTGACGACAGGTTTTTGTAGAGGGGACTTCTGTCTAAACTATCCTTCTGTCTGCTCGAGTAAGGATTTGAAAATACGATTTGATACTGAGATGCACAAGCAGGTTAGTAAGACTGCAAAGCAGGTAGTCAGAAGCTCACTCATCATAAAAATGATGATGACTCAGGGAAATATGTCCCAGTAATGTCGAACTTCCTGTCCCAGGACGACGGCTAGAGGAGAGAGATGAGTAGATATGCAAGAGCTAGAAGTAGCTAGCGCATAGGTTTCTTCTAGCGCATACTTCTTCCGAGCATCCCACATTAACATCTCCTCAATACATGACCCATCTTCCGAGTGCCCCTGACCGCCGATGTAAGTTCGAATCACACAGTTGTCCCTTTAAAGACCGTTCAGGGATATCAGACCTCTCAAAGCGTTTTTAATCGTACAGTCCATCGTTTGATACGTTAACTAATTTTTAATACAGTTATATAATTACATTTGAATTACATAACATTTTGACTTGATATAAGTGGTAATGATGCGCACAAACAGATACATAGTTTATCAGAATTGAATCTGCTCAACTGCACTATTTAATAAAGGAATCCTCTATATTTAATTTATAAATAAATAATCTAAGGATGTAATTTGCAGCTTCCGGTTTACTATAGGTAGCCAGTCACCTACCAGGTCTGTAGGAACTAATTAGGGAACTGGTGGAACTATGGACTGGCTACTGATATGCAATGTAATGTATTTACATCGCAGAGCTTGGATCACCTTTCCCATTGCCTAAACGTTAGAAGGGCTGTCGCTCGTAAATGGAGTCAGTAAAACGAGAAAGACTCGTAAAGCCTGTTGGTCTCGTTTTCATAAAAGAGTGTTGTCGCTAGATGCGAATACCCCGATGCATCCTATTTGCACATACATATGCTTATGTATTAAAACGGTAGATAGTCTTTGACTCATCCTCAAGGGTACCTCGCATGGCAAAGGCTCCTGGCCCACACCTCACCCACATGTCACAGAACAATAAACATGATAACCTATTATTCTGTACCATGTTTAGCATTGATAAGCGCAATTAAGGTTCACTTGCGACTGACAATTAAAGTGCATGGTAACTGAGTCAGCAGTCGTCACCGGAACCTTCTTCTAAACTATTCACAAAATCTACGTATATAGAAATAACACAGAGGTAAGAACACACTCGCAGCAATTTGTTAACGGTTGTCGCGGTGAAGATGTATCTATACTGACCGACTTGTGGGTGGCTTATGTGTGTCTATGTTAAGTGTTACGTACTGCCAATACTGTTAGCGGCCGTAGTGGCAATCAAGTACACTCACCGTTGGCTAAATGTTCCGTGGCGCTATAACCCTGGCCGGATATAAATCCAGGTCCATCGTAAGTTCCACCGTGGCCGAGCTTCATTCCGCGGCTCTTGGTGGAGAGTTTCTACACGCCTCACACAATAATAATGAGCACACCCTTGCCGACACTACTTAACACTGAATCCTGGGAATCACTGTAACCAGATGTCCAAATCAGATCGGTTGCTTTCTTCAGATCACCATTATGGCAAGAACAGCGGTAACCCCCAACATCAACCGCAACCGTGCCGCAGTTGATGCAGCTGCTCTCAAATAGCGCTGTTAGTACGGCCTTGTACTCTAGGGCTACGACCGACTCAAGCAGAGGCAGACGGACGATATGGAGTGGGAAGCCTGCGCGGAGATGGGTGCAGCGCCCCCTGGAGCAGTTTCTGCTCGAGTCTGAAAAAATAGCCAATAGAGAGCGCCACCGGTTGCGAGTATTTACATACATCTGATTTTTGGCGATTTCCAATTCGCCGTTAGCACTCCTTTTCCCGTGAGCCCAGCATCGTATAGACCCGGGACCGTATACTCCATGGCTATACCTAGTACATTTTAGAACAAAGCCCCCAATTGGCCAGGTGGCCACTTGCATGAATTAGGTCCTACACTTATTCTGTTTTTGTCTGTCTTGCCTTTGCCATTTTGCTCATATATATACACATGTATGTGGGTCATGAATAATATACTAAATAACCTCATACATAGCCTCAAAAATACACCATCTATATAACAGGCAGCGAAGCTTAAGCGTACACACTTCACTTCATTCGGATCCGCTTCTGCTCCAGCTTTTAATACTATAAGACTAGATAAGTAGAAACCTTCACCTTAAACTGAGGCGGGTTAGTAGTACTAGTTACTAGATTTATTTGCAATAAGATATAAACTTTGCTTCTATTCCAGGATAGATTTGAAGTAGCTATGCTAGCAAATCTCCAACGCAGAGTCTCTAACAAGTTCCTATATTTCTGGGTTGATTAATTCGCTACGACCTAAGTAAATGTGAAATTACGTGTGTATATATACATTAATGTGCATATACAAAGTGTTAAAACGTGTTGTATACAATCCTATAAAACAGTAGCCCACATATTAACACAAAACAAAAAGAAAGAGAAAATCTCACAATAATGCCTCTCAAGTGACTTCAAAATGCGTGAAGAAAACTTTCCATATATATATATTTTTACAGATATATGCATTGCTTTTAATATATATAATGTTGATTACATTTATATACGACAATCCAGTGTTCATTTGGCACGGTTTGCAGAGCACAATGCTTTACAAGAGGCCTAACGACGCAAAAGGTAGAAAAAGGACAAATAGGCATGCAATACCATCTTCTGTCTGCCCCTTGTGCTAGTATTTGTGAATCTGTAATATGAGGCGTAACTCGTAATCTCTATACGTCATTGGATGTAAGACGTTGAAAAACTTTTGCACCTATTGATGTACGAAAGCGCGTCCTTAAAAGCGCGTCGAAAAGATGGATATGCGAAAAAATGGGTAAAGATTGATGCATAGGTAAGAGGCGTTTCCGTATAGTAAATAACGAGATCTCATATCATCTACACTTATGAAAGTATTTTCCCAAATACAGATGCTAATGCGTCAAATAGAAAAATCCATTTGCCTCAAACTGATCTCTACCAATCTTAGAGTGCAATAACACAGACGCCGAAATATGACTACAAGGAGATACCGAACGATACAAGCCGTACAATTGTTTTTAAGATATTATCATGTGATTCTATGGACACTGCAATCATATATATATATATATATATATATATATATATATATATATATATATTCCCTGAATTAAAATATCTAACGATTGTGATACATTTTACAATTCAAATTACTGAAGATTATAATGCTAATTTACAGAACAGAATCTTAGACCTGGCGCACTCCATTCCAATAGCAAAAAATCCAAACTCGCTGTCACACTTCTCTATTGAGTTTGGTAAGTGATTGATTCCATCATCAAAGCACTGACACCGTTTAATCCGCATTCTGGTGAGGTTATGCTCCATGCTACAATGCGAACTTCAAGACCTGTCCAATCATTTAGTTGACATTACCGTAAAGTGTCATCAGTTGCTTGTCGCAGTTTGTTCATGCTTTTGTTGCTATCTGCTTAGTACGTGTAAACTTGAAATTAACAGTAAACAACTTAGATCAGACTTCGTCGGGCACGGCTTCTTTGAAGTCGAATAGGACCACTTTAAAAACCATTAAACTAAATCTCCTTTGGGAAAGGATGAGCAAGCCGCAAGTTTGGTCAGTGTCGAGTCTGTCATGGTGCATAAAATCCTATTTTTAGGGTAAACCCCTATCTGCTTCGTTGTTTCACAATCGATATTCAAGGTCTCCCAGTATATGGCTTCTTCTGGTACTTCAATCGGGCATTTTTGCAATCGGAGGGGCAAAGACGAGACGGACATGAACGGTTCCTTGGTAGAACCATGTTGATATTACAGATCAAGCCTCATCCAGTAACTTTGAGCGCTGTCCAGATGATAAGTTTATCGTTCTCCCCTAAACATGCCTACAGTTCTTGATTCTGGCGCTAGTTATTTCTATTTTTTATTAAGGGCGTAATAGGAGCATACTTTTTTTACATATATGCCTGTATAGGTTCTACTAGAGAGTTCTGATATATGCTGGCCGAGGAAATACAATTATTGCGGTCAAAACTTACGAATTTGTCCAATTAAAACTTGAAAAGGTTATCGTCTATAACCAAGTACAGGCGAAAATAAATTGAATAAAATGTCGAACGTGTTAATCGGAAATAACACTAGAAAAACTTGTCGTTTCTGACGGAAATCGTATCTAAAATTATTCTTCAGGATTATAACACGAAGAAAAAACTTCAAAGGCCGAAGAGTCAGAACTTACGTGATTCGAGAAACCTTTCGTCTGTCTTATGCGAAATCTTATGCGTTTATAAGCATAAAACATACCTCATAATATTTTTTATGTCAGAAAAGGCGCCTCAAGTTCTCTAACCGCAGGACAAACCTTTCTCGTATTCTTCCTTGGCCTTCAAGTTCCATTCGGTCTTAGGACTCTTTTGATTGCTAGAACCTTCCTGGTTTCCAGGCCGTCGTTGGCCTTATGGCTTTTCATGGCTAGTAAAACCCCTCAGGCGCCTAGTTCACTCTTAATTTTAAAAATTCGTCTCTGCCACAGAGTCCTACTTAACTAGCAGATCCTCCTTGGCTATCAGTTCCTACTTGGCTACAAGGTTCTTGTTGTATGCCTAGTTCCTGTTCATTATCTGCAGACCCAACAAAGCTCGGATAGTTGCAAGAAGCAATAGGAGGTCAGTTTCCGAAAAGGATTCAAGGAATCGCTGAATATCGGGCCGAACCATAAGCAAACATCTTCAGAGCACAGTACTTCGTAGTAATCAATATATAAAATTTAGATGAATTTACTGAATCCAGTTCATGAAGCATTGGGACATCCAATTAATGCTGATGATCTTTGTGAGATTTAGGTGCCTATGTTAAAGACTTCATTTAATTCAATAAAATAGCTCTGTTACCAAATATGATATTCAGTTTTTTCGTCGTTTGACCACTTTTGTTTTGCTGAAAAGTCTTCTGGTGTGGCAGCTTGGAACAATTATGGCAAGTTTAAAGCACTAAAATGGCGTCTGGTTACTAAACCTTATTGAAAAATATCCGTGTCTCAAAAAATATAGGAAACATTTGTCAAATGTCAGCAAAGTCATAAATAAGTACGAGCAACGTGACAATTTCTATTGTTCCGGTAGTGAGCCGGATGGGTGCCCAGGAAGTTGAAGTCGAGTAGTATACGGTTAGGTAATGCCCCAGATAGGAGCTTGTAGAGCCAGATAGCGCGGGGGCTGCGATAAGATAACCAGTACAGAAAACAGCAACTGCTGGTCGTTACGATGGCAATTGCAAACTTGCCCTAAGTTCTCTTATTTTTTTATTGACAAAATTGAAAGTTAGAAAAGCCATTCCAAGTTCAGGTGTACGATACGATTCATTCTAGATACTAGTAAAGCATAAGCCAACAGCGTAAAAAGTAATGCAGCTATTTGCTGTTCATAGCAAGCAAGACCCCCACATAGAAATATGTGCGTGTCTGCGAAATCGGTTCCTTGTGTGTTCCGAAACCGGTCATGAGATTTTTTATATAGTGCAAACTCCAATTAGACAGAAATGCAGACATATCCAGCCATCTTGTCTCTTACAAAATAAAACGACATCTTTACCTGTGCAAATAATTCCAATATATCGAAAAAAAAATACATATATAGGAAATGTGAAATAGTATAATTTGAGAATTCACAGATTTTTGTACAATTTTTGTGAAGGACGCATCTTGATCAGTGTCTCGAAATTCATTATTTTGTCCATATATAACTTAAAACCTAACATTTTTTTTATGTAAGTGATTACAACCATATTAAATGCAAAGACTTCAGAATGATTGTTATGTATATATCGTTGAAGCATACAGGCTATCTATACCGGGTCGCTTGTAATAACACCACCCAATAGCAAAGTTGATTCTTTTTTAAAGAAGAAAGTACTCGGAACGCGCCTGCTATGGACTGGTGCGGTAAAGACAGGCAAGAAATTCAAAGGTGTTAAAACTATCAGACTCGGAGCATGCTAACGCTGTCCATATAGACGATCGGCCGCAAAAGGTCGAACCATAGATTAAAACGAAAGGTCTTTAACGGTTCTTCTATATGTAATATTTACTTTATGATATGTAACGTACAATTTGATTATTGGAGTTTTCAAGTTATAGCTATACAGAGTCTTTGGCCTTAGACCGTTAAATGTATGCGTTCTACTATTGGTTTCCAAATGATATCGTCTCGATTAACGAGCCTTGATCCAAAACATTTGAACGTACCAGATCTATAATTTAGCTATTACTTATTGTATTGGAAACCATATTGGTCAACCATAAATATGGATACCCTTCAAAGCTCTTTATAACTTTATAAAAAAGTAGATGTTTAAGTAACATCGATAAAAAAAAAAAGTCAACCGTCATGATATTTAAGTGTTTCTACTACATTGCAAAGGGTGTGTAAATATGTTCAGATCGTCAAGGTAAATTATCCGTAAAGCACAAAGTATTTTTCTCTCAGACATAGTGCCCCCAAAACGTACCCCTTTATTAGATTTATTTATTCTATAGGCCTAAAGTCGAATAGTTAGGCCGGTTATGAATCCTCTTATTTCCTTCATAACGCATAATATTATAAGCGAATAGTCGACAGCTTTTTTTCCCAGTTAAAATAACGGCACTAACAAAAAGCATGACATATTTAAATTAAAATAGTCTTGTTTTTTTTTAGTCTGCCACATACTACGATAGCAAACCACTGCTTTTCAACGAGCTTATTCCTATAACCCATTTCAAACATATGTTGACTAATCTTACAAATTATCGTTTCGACTAGATTATACAAAGATGAACAAAAAATTTTGAAGAGCTCTAGCTGAATATTATGACTTTTTACAAATGCCTTTATTCGTGTTGACCGGCCTTCTAACGAAGCTGTATCAAGCAATACGGTTTCCAAGGTAGCCAATGAAATGTTTGTTACAAATATACAACTATTTTCGACCTTAAGTATTTCATTTCATAAGTACTTGTATTCCAGTAGTCAGCCACAGATCGAAGCATATCGTTCTCTTAAATGAGACTCATACAGCAATATGGTCCTCAGGTTCAAAGCATAGACGGCAAAAGCTCTTACCTCGCTGGACCTATTTGAAATCAAGGGCATCATACAATGAGAACACCAAGAGCAGTCCTGAAAAACGAGCTTGTTTCCAAAAACCAGAGGCAGCAAAAACACAAGCACGAATAATGGTAACAAGGCCACAATCAGTGCAGCCCTACGCGGTTGAAACATATTTGTATCTATTGGTTTATCTAGTATAGACGCCACAATATGGTAGTTGAATTAAGGCCACCATGAAAAAACCTTCAAAAACATACTTGAAGAAATTATGAAGACCATCGACGCTGCCCAAGTGTGTACATGAAATACAGATCAAATAGCTAGGGGGCGAATTGCTTTCAAACTATAGCACGAGGTCAGAAAGCTAGCGCTACTCTTTTGCACCAGGGGCCGAAGGGAGGGCATCTGCACGTGTTTGAATCTGATCCACAGCGAATGAGGCATTCATCTGTCACCCATTCGAAACTGCAGCATATTGATTATAACCACCGTGGAGTTGGTCTTTTTCGGTACACAGTATTTTTAATAGGTCATATTAAAGCTTCGAGCACGCAAATCCAAGTGAGATTCAGTTCCAGTGACAAGGCATCTTTTTTTGGCCTATAAAAATTACAGACTGAATTTTAAAGAATTCAAATCTAGAGACTGGGTCCGATGACAGCTTCTGTTTTTGCGAGCACCTATGTAAATCTACAGGGGCTTCAATGAAGCCACCGTAACTATAGCACAATAGTCATTTCAGTTTATCGCTGAGACAACGCACCGCACTTCTTTGCTGTCGTAGAGATAGTACTACCTGTGTGAGCATCTGGACGGATGGTAGCAACATACCGATTTCTAAAGCTGAAGTTGCAGTTGGACGTTCTTGCAATGAACTTTAAGGTACGTCTCACTGTTATATACGAGCCCGACATAAAATAAGTTAAATCAAGATCTGCCGTCGGAGTAATGGATAGCTGGCACTTGATGAATTATCATGGAGTGCGGTATGCAAGCATATACAGGAGCCTGTATTGCCTGCCGCCGGAGTTACTTGTCACTACAGGTCTTGCACAAAGAAATTAATAAATGTAACGGTCGACTTTCCGTTTTAGCGATCGACTAGGTTCTCTTGACTTTACAGTTAAGTAGTAGGCGTCTTAACATACGGAGAGAGGTAAGTTTGGTGCTTGGTTTTTGGCGTTGTGCCCTATTGTGACCATCTTTGCATGATCTTCGAGGAGTGACTGTGCCGCATTCGAGAGAACTGTTAAACAATAAGCCTAATAAAAGCATCATCTATTAGAATCTCAAGCATAGATAATAATGTAGATCATTCTATCGACTAGTTGCAATTCTCGAATCTCGAGCAAACGCCAGGAACCTTTAATCAACTAGATGTATCGGCAAGATGAAGTTATTAAGAGTTTGAGGGGTCACCAATCGAGAACAATAGATTACTGCTTGTCGTCGCCGTACGTGTTACTTTATGCATAGACATCTATTAAATCAAATATCATTTTGATAAATCGAGAGCTGTCCGACAAGAATTGAAGTCCACGAACTCAGTTCTTCAAGGTGCCACTAACGACAGTGAGAGTCGATCTGTCTTAAACGGGCTATTTTACCGGCTTTTGAAATGCATCATCTAAACCAACTCCAAGCCTACATTGTTAGACAACTCTGCGGATTCAACACATCTTTGTCGTTTATTTATGCGCGAGATTAGGTGAACCTATGCGAGAAATGGGCGATTCCCGCTCTACTTTGAATTTACCTAGAAGAGAATACTTAGGTAGAATCATGGCAATATACACGCTTGTGGTGCATTTAATTTTTGTTTGATTATAACTCTAGATAAGGATCAAACGAAAACCAACAAAAGTGATCAATATAACTGGACTAAATTATTTTTTTTTTTTATTTCAAAAGTATGCCAAGCACTCGTGTCGAATTTAGCTAAAGAAAAAGCATTCATAAGAACGGATCCAGTGCTCTTCTATTAAGGGCAGCTTAATTTTAAATGTTTCAGCAATGCTTTAAACAGCTAGCTTCCAGCACAAAGCAAAATATGTCTACGCCCGGATTTGATCCTTCGTTACTACTGCGTTTATCAATGACTGCACTGTCACATTGACAAAAGCGGCCTAATAATAGATGAGCTGTAAACACGATTGTCTTCGTAAAACATTTTATTGTTTTTTTAGCTAGTTTTCTTTGATGGAGTAAATCAAGTCAGTGCATAAACGAATTGTTTGGGATTCTTAAAGTGCACATAATGGAAGTTGTGTGATGATAATTTTCCGGTTGAAACGCAGGCCTTTCCCTATCTAACCTTTGAACGCATTGTGTGGGCATCTTCCTGAGCCCATTAGTGCTGTCAGCGTCATTATTATATTGATTCTCCGAGAAGGCGTAGTTTGTGACTACAAATCGTGCCGAACTGTGAATAAGTTTTATATTGATGTATGGATAGTTCGACAGGTTTTAGTTGTATCACTATTTGATTGACTTTGGAGGACAATGCGTACATCGTTACAATTTCCTTTCAATTTTTCGAACAAATACTGAATCTGTATGTAGCAGTATTCAGATGATTTAAAATCAAGTTCACACCGCTAAGCAAAGCTTTATGCCTGGCAATTTGTCGCCTTTGAGCCAATTAACTTAGCCAAAATCACATTTCTTTGTCTGAAGAAGAAGAAGAAGGAAGAACTGACTTTTTCGCACAAAGTCAGTTCTAGGGGATATATCCTCTGACCTACACAGTCCCACTTCAACGGCCTATAAAGACTAAAACATTAACATTAAATTAATTAAAACATTAATTAATTAAGCCAACAATAAATTACCTGTTGCAAGGGCTGTTAGGCCACAACGTATAAATGCCTTTGGCAAATGCATCAATATTAATCTCAAGCCCTTGCTCGAACATTTGCTGATACACGGTTACCGTCGCTGCCTTTGCCATACCCGGCATAGAGTATGTCTCATATATAGCACTAGTATTTTTTAAGTGTCTTACGAATCTTCAAATATTAGGATAAGATCTGAAAACTACTACCTCCGCATGCTGGCAGGAACAGTTAGTTGGCGAAGTACCCAGTATTGAAGCTTAAGTAAATAAGTCCGAACTGAAACCCAGCTCTGATACGAATGTCTGTACAGCAAAGGTCGAGTACACTTGATAACCACCATATTTCTCTGAACATAGAGTTGACGATCGTCGAATGGCAATGAGCAAAACAATTGGACATTCTTAAGTTTAAAAAACGACGTCATTTTTTTTCTATCAAACTACATCATCACGTATTATTTATTTAGAAGTATTGTTTTGGGATGAGGTTCGCTTGAATTTGATTACCTACATCATTTGTTTACCTAATTATTCGTATGATACCTATAAATTAAGTCTTTTTCCTTGATTGGATTATAGCTTTTGTTTTCTAGTATTTTCTCAATGCGGTACTATTTTCAGACTTCGATAAAAATGTTCTGTTGTTTTCTTGCTCATTAACTTACATAACTTATTAGCAAGTATTCCACAAGTATCACAACTTATTCATATGCTTGAAGAAGGTCAAGCGGCCAAATCGGTTTCCGAAGCTCTCGTAGAACGGTCGTGTCTTCGTTAGCACAGCGTCGTGGAACTTCATAACTACGCACACGTTCGAAATATTCCCCATACTTTGTGATATGATGTTTAGCCACTGATACGACAGTTACAACTATCAAAAAGCTCACTAGAAAGCGATACGGAGCAATACATTGGAAAAATAATTAAGCAGTAACTTCCTAGCAAATGTTGATTCCTGAAGCCTTACCTTCTTGGCCATAAGTACTTCGAAATCTACTGGCTCCTTTTTAATTTGACGTGTAATTATTCTCGGCCAGAGGCGAAAAGAGTTACTTTAACGTTTCGAACAATTGCTCTATGAATTATCCTCCAAGGTTGGTTGTTCGTTTCAGACGTATTCCGTGGATCGAAAATACCTCATTGGCAAGCAATCCTCAGTTCCTCTCACACCCTCACGGCTTCGATTCACACAGTAATACGTATGGTGATCGTTTCTACGATTTGCACTACGCCATTCATTGCTTAAGTAGTTGCCACGATTTCCTCGACCGGTTAGTAGCGCAGATTGCTCAGATCATGCACGCTTTACAGTGATTTATCGGACAGAGATAAGAACTGTAGATAAGGATAGATAGGAATCTGACTAGATGCTTGTAATCTACTGCAATTTGCTTTTCCTTAATGCGTAATTAATATCGAATGTAAATGATGCTCTACTAGATGCGTTCTGAGGTGCTCCAGATAACGTGACGCATGATTTGAACTGTGCCTTCTTTCGTATCAGACGGAGCTCAGACGTATAGATAAACACAGTTGCCCTGTTGTAGACATTCGACTTTTAAACAGCTACAGATGAGCGCCTATATTTGTATTGCTATAAAAGTGACGTTCACCATGAAGACAAAGTGAGCCAAGCAGTTCAGCATTGATTGTAGCCAGTGGCACGAGCCTGCTGACACAGGAAAGGCCAGATGATCGAATCATTCATGGCAAAGCTAACCTCTATGTTATTTAAGTGTCAGACCGATGCAGCAGTTCCAAAGCCACTTAAAGGCCAAAGAACACAGTTGCCTTTGGACTAGAAGCGAGTTCACGGAAACGTATAGTTGATGATTTCACGAAGTCCCTCTACTTTTACAGGAATGATAACGACATTTATGATTCACTAATAGCAGTTTCGACATGGATGGTCCGCTGTAAAAACGAAAAGCGTTTCTTCTAGCGGGACGAGCTAGATTGACTCTGAGAGGCGGTAAACAAGGCTCAAATAAGTGCAAAGTTTTCTAATGGCCCTCACTTGAGTTATTTTACTAAACTATTTAAATAGCCATAACCGAAATATATTCGGGTACAAATATATTCGACGCTAAATGGAGCAATTTACGTGATCGCTACCTTTCCATCTGGATAGAGAATTACTACAACGAAATCATGACCGACCTGCGCTGGCAGGAAAACCAATTGCTTGTCCGTATCAAAAGCATATTAGAGGACCAATACACGATACTTCTATCAGCTTCTAAAAAAATTAAGTCAATTAGCGGTATCGATTATGACGTGTGTACAAGGCAGAGTACGTTAAAAAGTATATAGCTTGATATTCGTAAGTTATATTACTATTATAAGCGTGTATCTTATCGACCATTTAATTTTAATTAAATGTATGCATGGTTTGTGATAAACAAGTATCGTGTCTATCCGCAGTGTTAGCTGGTGTTGTGAGAGAGTGTCTCTTCAAATATTAACGTAATCTGAAAAGCTTCTATAAAATTGTTTAAACACAAGAAGGAGATAAGTTTAGCCAATTTCTTTTTCCATTCACCATTCACTTTTATAACTGAAGGGTCCTCAGCGTCAAATCAAGAGGCCTCTCGTCCTTGCTTTGTCACAACCAACTTTCGAGAACAGTCGAGGGCATGACGTTTGAGCCTCTTCTAAATACGCGTGATTATTCTAAAACAAACCTATATCTAGGAATGTTCCTACTGTCCATTATAAAGTGTCCGATCGTTTGAGGCACTCGGATTAGGTATTCTCTGTTAGTTTTAAGCAAAACTTCCTGAAGTCTCTCATGACGCCTGTTCCCGAGAATGATGTTATTCGCTAGCCTCATCAAACACTTCTGAGAAAAATGTGTTAGCTCTTGAAACGTTCGAATATCTCAGACAGACGTCATGCATAACGTGACCTTACATGCCGATTCCATTCGTCTTCAATGCATGCTGCATGATAAATCCATAAACAGGTACAACTGCAACGTCGTGATAATAATAAATAACGTAAATATACATAGTAGATACGTAGGTTCGCAAAAAACCCCTCCACTAGTATGATCTATAAACTAGTATTTTCAATGACAGTTGTATACAGAATACGGGATATGGGGTACTGTATATAAAATAGAATGTTAAAATCAATACGGTAACGGATATACAGAGTGTATAAGATCAAAATAGATAAAGCAATTTTATGTGTGTCTAAAAACTATCCAAGTTACACAACTTCAAAGTTATAATCTGAATAGATTGAAGTTTACGGCACACGTTAAACTATAATCATAAATAATTAGTGAAGCCGCCACACTCATGATACGTGCTATGTTGATGAAATGGAACTGGAAACTTCGAATTATACTTCTTACGATATCCTCAATTACTTCGATCATTCCAAATATAATAGAAAGATGAAGTCATACACAGGTATCCGCACTCGGTCTGTAATGATACCGTGCATCCGGCTATCTATGTTCAGATGTTTAGGACTTCTATTGCTAGCTGCGGTATCATTACTGCTGCCATAAGCTGCACATGTCAGTAACCATCTTGTTTCTCACACGGATCACGTGACCACATCACATTATTGCAAATCGTCCCTACCCTATACAATGGTACAAATAGTCGCTACGGAAAGCTGCGCACGGAGCAGCTCTGTATCATTAACTAAGCTTCGTCGGCCCATTCTTCTTTCGTGTTATCAAAAGGTTGTACTTATCAGACATAACAAGGTTCAATTATACTTATTATTCTTAGAAGTTCTGCTGCTTAAGGTGAGTTAAGTCAAACCCCTGGGTGCGAACCTGATGCGAACCTGATGTTAAGCACTTGCGTATGGGGTTCAATATGTTTAGGCGCTACATTGTAATGGACGACGCGAATAGAAATGTATAATAAAGCACATAGTTAGGAATTAGGAAAAGAGTACAGCAAGCTGTATTGAAACGTGCAACTCGTGAACGATTTAATGTACCTGTTTCAAACGAAGTGCGATTCCAAATATCTGCCGTCTTCTACCGGCATAACTAGTAATGTTGGTCATAACTTGACTATATAGAAAAGCTCAATGAATATGCTGATCAGAAACTTGCGTTAAGTACTCGTTCATAGTGGAATTGAATAGGGCTACGGATTGGGTGAGATGATAACGAGCACGATAGCCAAAGAAGTTCCAGTAAAGGCTCCGGTAGAACGTGCAATTTAATTGACTGTGCTTGAAGTGAATCAAGGCTGAAACAAGTTACCTTATTACAAGTAGTAGTAACTTAAATTTCATAGCTAGACTTTGCCTTTCGAGCTGTCAAAGGAATTGTGTTTGTTTTATGTGTTCCAGCTTAGATATAT